GTGTATGTGTATATGTATACGTATACGTATATGTATATGTATATGTATATATATATATATCTCTTTCTTTCGCTCTCTCTCTCTCTCTCTGTCTGTCTCTCTCTCGCTCTGTGATTGAGTGTGATTGTGAAACCCTGTATCTACGGGCCAGAGAATGAAATAATGCAAGGGGCCCAGGAACCAATGTCACCTGCCCTAGAGAATGAAGACCAGGTGATATTGGGGTGACAACGTACCTGCAGTGGAGTGGTGACTTTGGTCTGGGCCCCTGCGAGGGCAGCTGAGAAGCTGCAGAGATGTGATTGAAGAAGCGAAACGAGCTTGCTATCGCATGGTACGACTATGGTCATATTGAGGGTCAATCCAAGTGTAAGTACGCAAAAGTGTGTGTGTGTGTGCGTGCGTGCCTGTGTGTGTGTGTGCCTGTGTGTGTGTGTGTGCGCGTGCGTGCGTGCATGCGTGCGTACATGCGTGCGTGCATGTGTGTTTCTTACCTCCAATTACACAACATGTACGCCCATGCGCGCACGCATGCATGCTGCATGCGTGCATACACACATACATAGATAAATCGATACATGCATAAGCATAAGGATAGAAGCAAAATCGTATTCAGCAATAGCAGCGAGACTTGAAAGTGGTCATGTTTTTCGATTTTTTCGGCTTCATACACTGAACGATCAGCAACAACCACGCATGGACTGGGTTGGGAGCTGGTTAAAAGCAAGACAGACAAGCTGTCGGAATTGTTGTGTGGTTTCAGGGCATGTGTCTTCGAGCACAAATGTTGGGTTTCGGTTCTCAAGACCTGACCTCGGAGGGACTGCTGCAGATCGTCGTGAGCATGCTGCAGTGACTGTAGTGCCTTCATTAAGTTGAGGGCTGTGCGTCGAATAAATGGGTGGCAGTGCAATTCCAGAGTGCACATGCTGGAAGACGAGATAATGAACGCGACGAGGACTTGAAAGCTGTGGAAACAGTCCACTTCAAGCCGTCCTACCTACTCACCAATCAATCTCATAGATTCTAATAGTATACAAGTTCTTTTACATGCGTCAGGTGCTGGGCCCCGTCCTGGCGTGCCGTGGCCGGAGCTAGTGATTCACTGATCTTGCGTTCGTCGCTTGACGAGTTGCTGTTCTTCGATGCACCTTCTGCGGAGCTGCGCCTTCCTTTTGCGGCCAACATGTTCAAGCAGATGTTCACCTCGGTCAAAAATAACGCGAAACTCCTTGCATCTGTTATTCCGATCAATAGCTTTGAGTCAGAACCTCTTGTTTCAAAGTCCAGAAGCCCTTTGGGCGGCACACCTTGCAACCCAAGTCGCCCTCGAGCTTCACAGCTTCGTTCTTCAGTCTTGTGCTCTATCCCACCAACCCTGAAGCACTGAAGCCGCTCATGCACACTGGGATTCCATGGGCTTAAAATTACCAGTTTCATCGACCCGAAAGCCCAGGCACATCAAAGGATGAATCCATAATCCAAGAAGAAAGCAGGTGCCTGAAGAAGCCTGCATCTATGGATGCCCTGGGCGGTGCCGCTCTGGGAAGCCTTCTTTACGAGCTGCGCAGCTGGCACTAACCCTGAAGGCTTGGAAGGGCCCTGATCCGCAGCAGAAAATGCACACTGTGGACGGGTTTTCTGGAGCACTTCGGTCGGGACGGCCTTGCGATCCAAGGAGCTTGTCCGGTTGAGCTTGAAGGACACTTTGCGGTTGGCTTTGGGAGCACTGGCGCCGTCATTACATCGCGAATGCAGCACACCACCCGAAGAAGTCGGCTTGCCTTAGTACGGCCACGACGACAAACATTCGTATCTCTGCACCATCATCACCATCACTGTCGTTGCCTTTGCTTTTGTCTTCTGATCATCAGCCGTCTGTCAGCCCCTGCATCAAGATCTTGCTAAAGGAAGGCATGCAGCCAAGGCTATACAGGCTGGACATATGGGACGAGGCAGCAGCCAGCGCGGTCTGCCAAAGGCACAGTTTGACTGCTGCTACCTTTGATCTAGACTGACCAGCATTGCAAGCACAGGTTGAGATCGAGACAGCTTCATTTCGCGGCGTAGTTACAGCCTGACGGAAAAGCCGGCCTATGCATTTTAAAGCCCCCAAGCCCCAAACTCTAGCCCAGGCTTGATTCAATCTCTGAGGGCTTCAAGTGCTCAAACAAAACTTGGGAGGCTTCGTGGTCCCCCACTGGACAGCGACTTGGGCGACCCCCGGAATGATGCAGCTCGGCCAACAGCAGACCACAGTCCCAAAACCCAAACCCACAGCCCAGCGCCGAAACCGCTCTGTCTGGTTTTTGGCACTCGCAGTTCTGGGCAAGGAGTTTGAACTGAACTGAAACAGAAGCCAGAGTCGGACAGCTAAAGTGCGGATGTTTGGAGTGTTACAAGGTTTCAGGATGATGAAATTGAGACCCCCCCCCCCCCCCCACGGCCAAATGCCTGCCCTCCACATGGGAATCCCGAATCCGACACGCCGAACTCCTAAACCCAAGATCCACACCACCTAAATACTGAAGATGAAGCCGATACCATCTATCCGGTATTTGACAGGCCCTGCACATGGTGTCCTCGCTGCCCTGCAAGACAGCGGCCAACGTACTTCTTGCGATGAGCTACCCGGTCGAGAGTTAGAACCCCAGACCCTGCTCTTTGACCCAAAATGAGCCGCAGTCGCAGCGCATCTTAGCTTTATGTGTTTCTATGGGCACAGGGATGGGTGCTGACATGCCTGACCCGTCGAAGGCTACTTCGCGGTTCCGGACAAGGATCTCCACAGACGCCTCGTCCAGGCGTCCCCTTGATACAAAGCTCTTCGACACTGAAGCATTGCAGCTCCAAGTGCCTCTGGCCTATGCTCGAGATTGGCCAAAAACATGACAACTATATATATATATAATATATAGATATATAGATAGATAGATAGATAGATAGATAGATAGATAGATAGATAGATAGATATGTATGTATATATATATAATATTTATTATATCTTATATATAGTAGTAGCATCTACCATGTTCGTCCTCGCCTGGCCAGGAGCTTCTTCGTGCGAAGGACCTGCCTCAGGAAGCCATGTACCAGGCCAGTCTACGGTCTCAAGATCCGTGAGAAGTAGGGTCCTTCGTCATCTCCGCTATCTGCTCAAGACCATCATCAAAGCGTCCTTTCAATGGTGGCGGCTACCCCAAGGTGTTGAAAAGACAAGTGCCAATAGCTGCAGCGCTAAACCATAAAGCTCAAACCGTAAACCCCAAAAGACCCTGAAGCCCTAAGCTCGAAACTGACAGCAGTTCAGGCCCGAGGCAGGGAACCCCCGACTTCAGGTGAAGACTTTCGAGATGGCGATCCGCCCCCTTGCCAGCCTTCAGATGTTCAAAGCTTCAGGTTCCGATCCTTTGGCCTAGGCTTTGGACTCCTGAGCCCAAAAGGAGACACCGCTCTGCCCCCAAGCGAAGTTCTGCCAGTCTCAGGTTTGGGCCACGCTGCAGTTTCTCTCCAGGACCGGGCGGGGCGTGCGAGCACCTTGGATGACCGCAGGGCACCGTTGGCTCGTCTGCTGGATACCTTGGATGACCGCAGGCTATTCTGAGTTGTAGTCAGTGTTTGCATACGCGGAGCCTTGAACCCTCGAGGGACCCCTCAACCTTCCCCTGATGCCCCGAGCGCTTTCAGGACCTGGGCGGTCTGGCCGCACGCTGGCTCTTCAGTGTGCGCGGCGCCGCGGGCGCACCGGAGCTGCGGGGAGAGTCGGCCTTCGCAGATGAGGTTTCCCAGGTGGCGAGGCACCCGAGCTTCTGAAATTCTGCAGGTTTAACTGTTCAACTATAGCATAATCGAGTATCGCCTAGTATATTCTAATCTCGTACTGTGTATCTTCATCTTGCAAGTAGTACAACATCCCGCAATCTAACATAGCACAGTCAGTCGCGGTAACGCTCGCTTGGGCTTGGTGCGGGCTTGTCTGATTTCTAGGTCTTGAGGTAGGCTCGGATATGCTCTGGATTCCGGGAGCATGCAGGTCGTCAGGCTCTAAGCAGCCTTGGCAAGAGGTTCCGGGTTTAGGGGGTTGGGTTTGCGAGTGCTCAAGACAAATTTTTGCAATCTCTGCAGAGCCAGGAACATCTCCTGGCACCACCGGGCGGAGGTGGAAGTGGGCCCGCCCAGTGGCTGCAGGTCACAGGACAGCTAGGCCCGTCGTAATGATAGCTTTTCTGGTTCAGATGATGTGACAAAGAAAGAGCTACTGATCGAAGCTACACTACCTGTAGTTTCTATCTTTGGGGCCAAGTGCTCCCATCCTGAGCCAAGGTACATGCTCGACTTTGCTGCGGTGAGCACGGACGGGCATGACCAGGAGCGACACCCACGGAGCAACCCCGAAAGCACAGACTCCTCTAAGCCCAACCTTACTGCCTTGTTCCAACTTAGGACGTGCTCTTCGCGAGAACCCTAGTTCGCACAGGAGAACCCACCGGACGGCTGGGACGAGAACAAGCCTGGACGCTCGCTGGCTCGTTACTGCGTAGCTGTGGAGGTGCTCGGGTGATTTGCGACTTGATCCTGGCTCTGATTTGGCCTGCATTGCAGAGCATGAGCTTGAAGGGGTTCTCTTCCCGAGCTGGAGTCCCAAGCGCGAAGAAATGAACCTGGCATGTGGCAGGCGGATGGGCCCACGCACTTCTACAGGCTCCGATCGGGGAGGGAGTGCCTTCTTGTAGTCCTTCATGCAGCTTATCATTATCGTTCTTATTACTCTTAATTTTCTCAATCATTGTTGTTGTTATGATTAATATTGTATTATCTTGATTGTCGCAAACCCCCACCCGACAGCCGCAGCTCAAAAGCCTGCACCCCTTGAGCGGTCTAACGCTCCCGAGCAGGCCGCACGGGAAGCCTTGGCATTGGACCTCCACGTCCAAACTCCGCCACCGCCTGCTGTCGGCCATGAGACCCTCTGCGATCTTTCAGGAAATGGAGGAAACTTGAAGGCGAGGAAAGTTGAGGATTCTGGCCTGGACTCTGGATTTTGTCTTTGCTGGCGAAATTTGTGGTCTAGAATTTGGCGTGGACTGTGCGAGTTGAGTCAACTTGCAGGGTGGTGCATCACCGTAGAGCCTTAGAACCCATGTACAGATGTTTCGCATCACAGGCTCCAAGACCAGCACAAGAAAGCCATTTCCGTCAGTCGACTAGGTCTGGGGTTGATCGTTTGCCTCATCTAAGGAATCCGAGTGGCCCACGTGCCTTTCTTCGACTGGCTGCAGCTGGAAGGAACCTTGCTGCAGGGGTTGGATGACAGCCTTCACTCTCATCCCGTAGGTCCGCCCGGCTGAAGCTACCCTAAGCCAACCAAATCAACCTGTCGCGGCACGGCAGCTCACAGCGCCGATGGACTTTAAACACAAACGCACTCGCACAGCGCCCGCGCGCCCGCGCGCGAGGATACTTGTCTGACCTTTGAGTCGCCTCTTCTCAGAGACTCACATGCCTTCAGTTCAAGGCTGAGCTTCCACAGTAGCATCGTGTAGTGCAGCCTTATATGGTCATTATACTACGGTCACTGCGGGCTACAATAATCAATTTTCTAGACTGGAGCACTTGGAGGGTGCAACACCAAACCATGTCTCGTCTGGAGGCCATTCAGGACCATCTCGATGCATGCCTGGCGAAACCCTACAGCTTCACACGCGCTTGCAAGAACAGTAGCCAACCCTCCCCTAAACCAGCCCAATTTTCACTTTCGACATCTTTCGACCCTCAAGCGTGGGACCTCTCACCAGGACTTGCCCAAAAGGAGGCCTACTTGACCGAACTGCTCCTCAAAGTGCACAGCAGCCCTTTCCCTTCACTGAAGCTCGAGGTCCCGGCAGGCGCGCGGTGAGCGGCTTTGAGTCTTTCAGGGCTCGCGAGTCGGGATCTGGGCACTCCAGGGTTGTTGGTGAGGCGCTGTTCGACCCTCTGCAAGTCGCGTAGAACTTCTGCTCAGCCTCGAGTGCCCGAACCAACACCTGACCCATCGGACCCGACTTGAGTTTACCGTTCTTGTGCCCGTGGTCGCCGTGGTTCTGCGGATGGCCGTCGCATTTTAGTATCGAGAGGATTTTTCCAAGGAAGCCTGGATGTCCAATTTGGATGCAGTAGACACCGTTCATCGCTGCCATGAAGCGGTGCCGAAGCCAGAGGCTTTGCAAGCTAAAGTTGTTATCTGCTTGGTTGAAGAGGAGGAAGCTGGCTTTGGGCTCGGATGTTCAAGCCGCGCCTCCGCTACTGGTGCAGAGCATTGACACTGACCTGACTGACCTCCCAAGCTCCACCGAAGCTCCAAGTGGCGCACTAGCGGAGACTCAGCGGGTGAAGGAGAAGCACAGTGAGACCAACCCCGACTACAAGTACTGCGCAGATGAAGAAGTTCCTTGTCTCAAGCAAGAAGGCGACGGACCCGTTGTACCGTTGGCAGCTCAGGAAAGCAAGGAGAAGCTCTCTCCGCATCAGCCTGACCTCACTGTGCCTTCCGATCTACAGTCGTTTTTCGCGGTGGTTCCGAGTCCAAGAAATTCCCTGACATCAACCGCCCCCTTGTTCGTCTCTGGATCGACAGCAGGGTCGACGTGCAACGCGAATATCTCATCCACCTGGGCCCGGCCAGCCCTCAGCCCAAAGCCAGCCTGCCCAGCAAAGCCCAGCTCAGGCCCTCCACAAGACAGCCGACAACACAGCTCCGCCCAGCCAAGCTCAGCCCAGCCCCAGCCCGGCGCAGCACAGCCAGCTGCTTCAGTCCGTCTGCCCGAAGCGAGATCAAAGTCGAAGGCATTGCCAGGAAGCACGGCAGTTCGCTGGAGCCCTACAAGCTCGGCTCCTCCTCCACCGCCGCGGCTGGCACCGCCTCCACCCCCACCGCTGCCTCCGCCTCCACCACCTCCAGCGCGCAAGTATGTCTTGGATGCTTTAAACATCTTAAACTACCGAAACGAGGCCGGTGATGGCCCGTTAGAGTGGGACTTGCTCGACCTAGCCTCGAACCACTTCAAGCGGAGGGGCCATGACATTTATATCTTCTGTCCGAAGCTTTCCAGAAGTCAATCCAACGCCGATGCCATGAGCTCCCTCCATAGGCGCTTCGGCTCGAAGTCTGTAGTGACCACTCCTTCCGGAAAAGATGATGATTCCTTCATGCTTTCGTTCGCGAAGCTTATGTGCGAGAAAAGCATTGAAGCCGTATTGTGACGAATGACAGGTTCAGAGATTTCATTCAACAGGGTGTTCTGACGGAATCGGAAGCCGACAAGCTGACCGTGAAGTACTGCTTTGCAGCTGGATATTTCGTGCCTGAGGATCTGCACAAGTGAAAAAGTTGCAAGACTATGGTCCTCGTGACACCAGGACGAGTACGGGACAAGACGGACATGACGCTCTCACCGTGACTTCTGGTCCTGACTCGTGTTGTTAGGGTGCTTCGTTCAGCGGTATTACAGCCGTCGTTCTCGGCGGGACAAAACATGGCAAGCAGTACCGAGAGTAGTCGTGTATGTGGTGGTGCCCCTCGCAGGAGGAGTCGCAGAAGCAGTGAACAGTGAGAAGCAGCAAGCACACAAACATCGGCGTGCTTGATGCAATCCTTGATTTTTTGTGGTGGTAGTCGTTCGTAATCGGGGTCGTTGTGGCACGGCTCGCAGCAGTGGCAGCTGCAGTGGTGCTAGTGGTGTACTTCTGCCAATCTTGCTCGTTGTTCTTAGTAGGGGTGTTTGAAAGACAGTCTTGTCCTGAAGATGTCAGTATAGTAGTAGTGCGAGCATAGCAGTCGTAAGTGGCACCAGTGGTAGAAGAACTGGTAGCAAAAGTTTACCAATCCTGGTTCTTAAGCTCCAAGCCCTGGGCCCTCCTAAACCCTCAACCAAACTACTGCCGAGTCTTGTTAAAAGAATGTCGGTTTTGGTTTTTGGCACACAGTAGGCGAACGACCCGCTTACCTCTGGTATGTGTCTGCCATCACTCTGCATCAGTTGCTGGTGGTCATGTCTGGTGGAAACTCTGCACCTTTCTCGCCTAAATCTGTGCATACTTCATGGCTTGGGGATTACTTGCACGTCCAGCTCATCAGTCCCACAGGAAGGTCAGTGGTTGGGCATATGAGAGTTGCCTTAAGCTCTTGACCATCCAAACTCAGCTTTGCTCGGGAGGTGCTGAGCCAACCGAGCCGCCCAATGCCAGCGCGGTTGGGGCGGAGAGGCGCAGACATCCTCCTGAAATGCTATGTTCCATCAACTTACCTTTGTTTTCAATCGTCTGTCATCCAGAGTGCTCAACCATGGATGCCAGGACCAGAGGTAGCTACATCCGGCGGAAGGTCACCATGAGGTCCCGAGCGCTTCAGGCACAGGCTGGTTAGGTGGCGAAGGCGCTCATCGGAGGCATCCTTGTTCGCCTTGTTGCTCTTCGAGGTCTCTTGCACTTGCCAGCCTGGGCTTGAGACATCCAGTGAAGCCCTGGCAATCTGTTGCAGGGGCTTTGCTCTCCTGCAGATCCGCAGGAAACATTATGATGATAGGCTTCCAGTTCACCACCAAGGGCCACCCGGAAGAGGAAGGGGCACGCAAGGCATGGCCCTTCGCCACAAGACCTACCCCAAGGCCTGTCGGGCCCTGGACCTGGCAGCATTGCAGGACTTGCAATGAAGCTGCACCCAACCTGAAGATTTCAACAGCTCCGCTGCGCCGCTGCGCCGGTCGTCCAAGTTACAGATCCGTCGCAGAAGCGGCCATGAGAGCCAAGAAGTAGCTGTGAGCTCAGCTGGCCCTGTCAATGTACATGTTGAAACGTTTTCGTTTCGTCACTGGAGAAAAGCGGACAGCCGCACAGGTGGCAAAGAAAAGTGCTCAATATGCTTTCCGGCCCGGTGGCGCATCCGACACAAGTGGCAGAGCTATCCACCCGCATGCCCCGGAATCTGCTTTCAACAGACACCTACACAGTGATTAGCAGTGCGTTTGTGTGTGAGCTTTGAGAAGGCCTCGCGCAATCCCGGAGCCCAGCCAAACTCCCGACTGTGAACCCGCACTGCGAACCAACACTTTCAGTTCTTTTTATGGTATCGTATGACCCTGCATATGATAGTCTATAGGACAGCAAGTAAGGGTAAGATCTCACAGAGCCCATCTGGCGAGCTCTCCGAGGTCGCCTCTTTTCAGAGGCTTTCCAGTGGATCGACACATGGCTTGACGAGCTGAAGGCCTTTTGGGGGTTTATGACTTGGGGAGTTTATTCTTCTTGGTTCCGGGTTTGGTACGGGTTGAGTGTTGCTGGTGTGGGACACACGCAGGTCGCTCGAGCGGGAAAACAAACCCAAAGCACCCCCGAAACCTGCTTGAAAGCGGCCACTTCCTCGTCCCAAAAAGGCCCGAGCAGGCGAGATGCCTCCGCTGCCATGTCCTCTCGATTTGGGTAGCCTCTTTTCAACGAGCTAAAAAGCGCTTAGAGCGCGGGAAAACCTCTCCGCGCATTCATCGCCCATCCTCTTCAACGATGCTTTGGGGCTCCTGCTGGCCTCTCGGCCTGCGACTTTCAGGGATCGGTCCGCAGACAGTTGACTACGGCTGGCATCGAGTTTCGAAGTTGAGAACCTGGTTCGTCCCGCAATCTCCTTGATTTGGTTTTCCATCACTCCCGATAAGGCTTTTTTCTTGAATTCGGTTAGGAAGTCCCGAGGCGGGAAACCCTGAGCCTGCAGTGACTCATTTGGATATACGGCTCACGTAGTAGGTAGGAGGGTCCTTCAGAAGATGTCGAAATCATTGACGGTAGTAGTGCATCTTGCATGCTTCGGAAGGCTCCCGCTTGCTGTCTCATGATCCCGACACCAGACACAAGAGTCTTCCGCTCTGAGGTACCTGGTACTGGCATTTTTGCCGCAATCGCCGGGCCTGGAGTCCCTGGATGCCTGCCCCTCCGGCACGGCTGCAGCTCAGCTTCGGGTTTGCTGTTGGGGGTTTGAGTTTGTTGTAGCGTCGGGTGTTGAGGGCTTCGGGAGTTGGCTTTCTGAACCGGGCGGAGCATCTCACAATCAGGTCCGAATCACGGGGTGAGTGATGCAGCATTTCGGCCCTGGGGTCTAGATGCCTGTTGGTCGAGCTGCTCTCGTGGGTATCGAACCAGCTTCATGACCTCTTTGCCAGTGTACTGTTCTCCTGAGAACAATGCAGAGTCCCAAGTCTTAAGAGATAAGATCCATCCGCAAAAAGCACGTCCCGGCCTAAAGACCACTCATCGTGAGCTACACGTGTCTGCAATTGGCGATTGGTCCAAGGAGTGCTATGCCAGAGTTACAGACGATCCCTACGAAGAGGACCTCTTCCTGCTGCAGCATTCTGCAGCTTCTCGTCAGGGATCTTCCTTGTCAGATGTACAGGCACACTACTCGGGAAGCGTAGATGCCGGGAATAGACTAGACCTGTGTCTGCGTCCCTTGTTCTCGCTTTTTGCCCCGGTTCCACCTCAGCCCTGAGCATCCAGTTCCAAAACGATCAGCGATGTTGGGGTGCATGTCCCACCTCCATTACTGATCGCCCTTCAACCTCCTAACTGGGAAGACTCGAAGTCCCGGTATTTTAACTCAGCATCCCGACTTCAAGGCCGTGCGCGAGGCGGACGAGATCAATGCATCGAAGGCCGCCTTGCAGACCCTTAGCCCCGAGCCGGACTCGACAGAGGCAGCTCTTCGCCTCAGAGCTGGTATGGTATAAGACGGTATAAGAAATTAGTAGTTGCATTCGCATTAGAATTAGTATTCGTAGTAGTGTTAGTATTGCCATAGTATAGTACAGAACAGTACAGTACAATGCAGTGTAGTATGGTATGGTATAGTTTGTATGGTATAGTGTAATATAGTATCGTCTTTTGTTGTATATTATAGTATTTACGGCATATGACTGTTTATAGTCTATTATTAGGTTATATATATATATATATAGATCATCGTATATTATAGTATAGTGTAGCTCTGGGAACTCCCAACTCCCGGAAATCCACATGTTTTCTTCGAACCTCGTGCACACCCCCGCCCAGCTCGAAGTCCCCGATGCCGGCTAAGGGGCCCCTCGTGCGGCTCCTGCACCTGATAACATCGAGTCTTGGGCCCCGTTTTGAAGAGGCTTTCCGTCGCTTTCCTCAGGGTGTAGGCTTCGGGGTTTAGGGTTTCTGCGTTTCGGGTTCAGGGTCTATAGAGACCGGAAGCCTCAATCCTTAGCCCAGGATCCGTCATCGCGTGGCCGCCCGCTGGGGCTGGGGATCCTCAGATCCCAAGCCGCCCACACCAGACGCTCTGCGGCAGATCCGACGAAAAAAGCATCCACGGCATGTGAAGCGGTTTTCCTATCATCGGCTCTCCGAATCCAGGCTAGGCCCTGGCCCTAAGCCTTGAAGCCTATAAATCCTAAGCCTCCTCGCTCCAAGGAGGAGGCCTGCACCTCAGGAGCCCGACAAGTTGAGGTGGGTCTTCGAGGGCATTCGGGGCCTCAGGCCGGCGTATCGGCTAGGGATCCGGCATATGGGGGCTCTGGCTTGGGTTTTGCAGACGGGCTTGCGAGGACGGGAAGAATGGAATCACTCAGTCCTTGCAACGGTGACTCTTCTTTTCGATGCAATCCCCCCCTCCCCCCCGTTTCTTTAGCCACGGCTCTGTCTAGGTGTCGAAACCGAAAACAGACAGCTGAGTGCGAGAGACCAACTCCAGAACCCTATGCAGGGACCCTTCCATGACAGTTTCGCTGGTAAGAAATTTGACGCTATATTCTTCTTCCTAGCTTTGTTGTTTAGTTGTTCGATCTTCTTGTTCCATCTTGCTCTGTGCACTCTTCGGAGGTGGGAAGGATGTTAGCCTGCCAGGACTTTTCTTCAAGTATTCGGACGTCAAGCTAGAGGAGAATCTGGAAGCTACCTTCAGTCTCCACTCTCATGGAGCAGACTGCAGCAGCAAGAGCGCTTTCGGCCCCAACGAGTGCTGCCTACAGTTGCTTGGCCTGCCTTCGGAACATGGCACCAGCACAGCCGGAGAGCTTGCAGCAGCAACAGCAAGAAGAATCAACTCAATGACACGTGCGGCTTCTGCTGCATGCACCCCATCTCGAAGATAAGGTTCGGGACTGACATTGGCGTGACCATCCAGGCTGTTCTCCCACAGAATCTTACACAGGATGCGGCGACTCGGAGTGCTTTTGGAAGCTTGAAGTCGTGGTTCATGCGACCCTAGCGAGCCAACAAGGTCAACACTTCACCCTGTTGGTTTGAGGGTTCTTTGGTTTTGAGGTTTTCGAATTGTGTACCACAGGTTGACGAAACTTCAAGAGGTGTCCCGGTTCTGCAGTGGTGACGTTGAACCAGGTAATGCATACGCGAGTCTCAGCCTGGTATGGATGGATCCCTCTCTGGGACTCCATGAGCTGCAAAATCTGCGGTGAGCCCTGCAGAGCTTGCCCCTCCATCAGCCAGTACCTGCCTTCCCTGCCTCTCAGCACTTTCTTGTGTTCGCTGTCTAGGGTTTGGGAAGTTAGGAAGTCGGGTTTAGGAAACCGGGGCCATGGCAGAAGCCATTCTGCCACCCATCCAAGGTTTCCATGCGAGCCCACGCCCATGCCGGACTGCCCGATCCCGGCCGGATCGGTGACAAATTCGGCCAATGTGACGCTGCCGCTGGATGTACAACAGAAAGCCAAAGGAAGTAAGGCGACGGTCACATACTCCCTAACACGCGCTGACGGATCCGTCGTGACCTCTGGCGAAGTCTTCGGCAAGGTGTCGTAGCCGTCCTAGCGACGATCCGTCCTGCCGTTGTCGGCCACTTGTCTGCCGTGGCTGGCTACAGCCCAGATAATGACCGAATGGAGGAAAAAGAGCAGGGCTTGCAGGGAACCGGTGGCTCAAGACCAGAGCCCGGCCCAAACTCGAGCTACCAATTTTTTTGGTCGGATGCGGCATTTAGGAAAGAACTATTGATTAAGTTCAGAACACCACCCTCATGAGCTTCCAGGGCTTTCTCTCGTCCAGCTCTCAGCTACTTCCACGCCTTGGATGCAGTGACTCTGAAACTAAACCGAAGTAGGGAAGATTCCAGAAACAGCTTTTCGGGCTCCCTAACCCTAAGCCCCAAACCCAACAAACCCTGAAACTTGACTTGTAGGGATACTGGAGTCTGTGGAGACAGGATCTGATCAAGAAGGAGGCATCGGCGCAGGCACACCAAGCAGCAGTGCGATTGTCCCTCTTGTGGAGCCTGTTCGCAGGGTAGCCTTCTGGAAGTCCGTTCTCTGGGCCACGGGCAGTATGGACATAATTTGAGGGCTTAGAGGAGGTTGGAATGGGGGGTCTTCCCTCCGACCCTGAAGATCCACATCTTTGGATCTAATATAGGAGCCGCAGTCATTACCAACACTATGTTGGGGGTTCCTTACTATAACTATATTAAAATAGACCCCAAAACCCTATTCTAATTCTGAATGCCCCCTGTGTACGCAAGCCTCACAGGACTCCCGGCGGCCGGAAGCGCAGCGAGTGCGTGAGGTGTCGGAAGGGGTGCATATCCTGCTGACAGTTCTGACATACCACCAGTCTAGGCTGTCAGAGAGAAGAGCCTTGTTCGCGATCTCGGGTTTTGAGGACAGAGGGCTTTAGATTTAGGTGATGGAGTCTTTGTGGGTGCTGTGATGTTCAGTTGTTCCAGCGTTGACGCAGAGCTTCCTGTGCCATTAAGCTCCATCAAACTTCCTTGACACCCGATTACTACGGCCCAACACGACAGATACAGGCGCTGCAATAGTTTGGCCTTGCCGTGCGTAGACCCGAGTTTTCTCGCGAAGGCAGAGACGAAGCAGAAGAGGGTCGACGAGCACATGCGCAGTGCCTGCAACCTCCACGCCCACTCCATCCTCATGTGCATACCCTGGAGCAGTGTTGGGCTTTTGGGGTTGAGGGCAGTGTTGGGATCGTTCCGAGAAGGAGACTTGCTCCATGGGTTGGGAGCGAGTGGGGTCTTTTGCGACTGAGCATCTCAGGCTGCATGCGTTGCTTGCCAAGCCTCTTTGACCAAGAGTCAAGACTCTCGCGAGAACCCTCCCTGCCGCTTGTAGAGTTTCCTCGGCCCACCCAGGCTCCGAAACGTGGACCTTGAGCAGGACGGCCGGGACCTCTCAGGGACTTTGTATGTGCAGACACCGGGTTTCGAGCAACATTTGGAGCCAGATCTCAGCTCTCGAGCAGTCCGAAGCTGCAACAATGACGGTGACAGTCGGAACGAGGCAGGCAACGCAGCTCCACTTAGCAGTCCACTTGTTGAAACTAGATTCTAGATCGTTCAATACCCTGTGTGCCTTCATGGAGCCACCGCTGGCAGCCGGTCATGGGCGACAAAGAGAGGAAGCGATCCCTGCTTTACGGCTGCTACCTGCTGCAATCAGTTCGCAATCATCGGAGGACTTACATCGGCTTTACCATGGATCCCAGGAGAAGGCTTCGACAGCACAACGGCGAAATCAAAGGTGGCGCACGTAAGACAGATAGGTGGAAGCCTTGGAACATGGTGCTATGTGTTTGGGGCTTTCCAGGGAAAGTGCTCGCCCTCCAATTCGAGTACGCTTGGCAGCATCCATCGCTTTCTCGACATGTGAGAGACAAGGTTGCCCACTTAGGCTTTTGCAAACTTGCTGGGCATGGGAAGCAATCGCCCGTGCAAGGCGTCGACAAGAACGTGCGAGTGCTCCTGGAAATGCTGCAAGCAATTCCGTACAACAGGATTCCCTTGCGGGTGCACTTTCTTGAAGAAAGTTTGTGGACAGGCTTGGAGAATTTGTTCGGTGCGGCGTTGCCAAATCACTTGACACTGACGCATGGTAGCTTTGACGATCTGCAAGGGCTGTGCAAGCAACGTTTGACAATGGTCATGCCACCGGCGGGGTCTGAGTGTGCAAAATGCTCAGAGCTGCTGAAGCCTGGCGATCTTGTCGTCCATTGCCCCCACTGTGAGTGCTTGATGCACCTTTCCTGTGCAGCTACAGTTTTCACAGGCACATCAAAGAAGCTCATGCCTGACGATCCAACTGATTGTCTGAAGTGTTCGGTAAGTATGGACTGGCTGGTGCTCCTCCGTAACCAACGGGTCTTGCGGTCTCCAGCAGCCGACGAGTGCGAAGAGGAAAACGAGGAAGAGGAAGACGATGACGGCAACTATGCTGAGGATCATGGTGATGATGATGGTGATGGTGATGATGATGGTAGTGACGATGATGAGGAGAGAGAGCCCAAGGTTAGCATTGGATCATCTGAGGCAGAAGTGACAAAAGTCCTCTTCCGCAGGGGCGACTCAGACATGCAAGCGTTCGAGCCGAGCTCCAGTCAGATGGACCGCGTTGATTCCTCCTTGCCCTCGTTATCTTCGAGTCCTCCAGGCAAATCCCAGAAACAAACTCCCGTGGACCGTCGTCGTGGAAAGCGAGCGGCGCTGCCAAGATGTGACGGCGATGAGCCCTCCGAAGTCGGATCTTTTAACGATCAGAAAACCCAGCGGACTCCGCTCAAGAAGGCAAGGACGCGGACACCTCCAGGCGCTGCAGTCTGCGCAGACGCTGCGGGGAGTTCCTCAGGTACGGCTTCAGCGACCAACTCTCCCAAAGTTGACCGATGCGATGCCTATGCTTCGTCGAAGCTGGCGGGGGCTAGCGCAAGCTTGAGACAGAGGCTGGCACAACGGACTGGAGATGGGTCGGCATTCTCAATTTGATCTCAGGCAGTGAAGAGCTCGCTGCTTATGATTGAGGTTCCACGAACTCATGCAAGGATGACGCTTAATTACAATGAG